TCACCACCAACACTGTGCCAGAGGGGCTAAGCGCAGGATGTTCTAATGCTCTCGTGGCCGATATCCCTTGCGGCAACGGCATCACCCTTTTCACCAGAGGGGAGTATTATCCCCTCACAGACTTAAAAGCGCTTTGCGTGGACTCTTGTGCCTCTGCACTCGAGGCCTACCACGTCGATGTGGTTTCCAGTTGCGCTGCAGATAACTGGCCCGAAGAGATGGAGGTCGACATGCCGCTCGTTATGATCAGCGAGCTGCTGAGATACAACTACAACCTGACATGCCTGACAGACAGTGGCCGCTTTTGCAATAATGTTGCCGCTGCTTTCGCTGCCTCACGCGATCCGGAGGCGGCGAATGTACAAGGTGCTCTGCCTGCCGGCGGCGACTTTGGTGACTACGTGCCGTCTGATACGTGCGACGGCTGCTTGGTGAAGAACCTTCGGTTCCAAGCCGGATCTCCTTACTTTGACGGACCAAGGCTGCAGGCTCAGTCAGTCTACGAGTCTCGCACGGCTGATTGTGGCATCACGGGAGCACCTCTCGTCACTACCACGATCAGTCTGTTAACGTAAGTATTCGTTCTCTTATCGAAATAAAATACCACGACGCGAGGTGTTCAACACATCACAGAATTTTGGAGATAGGAGAACATTAGCTGACAAACCGTCCGTAGACAAACAACAGCGGCTCCGACGCCCACGCCGACCTGCACAGGGAAGACTTACTCCATTCAGCCAGAGGACGATTGTAACTCCATCTCCGTAGCACAGAGCATTGGAACGGAGTGGCTCCTCTGGGACAACGACTTGCTGGCATTCTGTCACCAGTTCCCTACCGAAGGAGAACTTTGCCTGGTCAACACTTGTGATATCTACACGGTTGTTGAATCTGACACCTGTGACAAGATTGCAAAGGCTCACGACATGACTGTGACTCAGCTACTATCTTGGAATCCTGTAGGTCTCCCCTGTTTCTATATGAACGTGGGTTTGTAAAGGAGACTAACTGGCGCAAGTCAATCAACTCTGGATGCTATAATCTCAATCAAACCATTGGCCATCAAATCTGCGTGTCGGTTCCGGGGACTCCTTATGTGGAGCCATCGCAGACAACTTTGCAGCCCTCAGTTCCCCTGACTGCTGCGCCGGTTCCCACGAATGTTGCGGCCGAGACGAACACATATTGCGGCAGATACTACACTGCTATCCTTGGAGACTATTGCAACTTAATTGTTATGAAATTCGGAATTTCCATGGACGACTTCTTATTCCTCAATCCCGCAATTAACGAGAACTGTACCAACTTGTACGCCGAGGAGTCATACTGCGTGCAGCCCGTCGGAGACTGTAAGTTTATCCAGACTCACATGCTTTCTTACTCTGAGTAAGTTCTAATCGGAGGTGCCTAGTAAATACGTACACCGGAAAGCCCGGACACATCACCTTCGCGATCACCATGACGGGAACCGTCGAAGACTCTGCAACAACGCTGCCTGACAATATCTGGACGGCTCCAACTCCCACGACGACTCTGCTTCCCATTGCTACCGGAACAAGGAAGGATTGCTACCACTATCTAACGGGAGACGACTGGCAGAAAGACATGACCGGAATGTACTTGGCATCCAACTGCGCTCTTGCCGCCGAGGTCTTTGACGTTACCCTAGAAGACCTCGAAGTCTGGAACCCGAGTACGTCTCATTCATACTTGAACACTATGCGAGCGCAGTCCTCGCTAATCACATTCCTTGGTAGTACTCGGAAACGCATCCGATGATGGATGCTCATTCGAGAGCGGTTTCCGCTATTGTGCAAAATGGTACACTGGCTCAAAGAAGTTCACAAACCCGGATCCGCTGGACTCAAGCTTACCGGCTCGGGTGAGTAAATATTCCTCCCTGTCTATGAACCTCAGTTCAAATCACTGACTTCTTACTCAGGATGGAATGACAGAAAACTGCACTCAAATTGTTGAGGTTGATACCAACGGTAGCCCTTCATGTTCAGAGATTTTGAGTGAATGGTCTCTGACCATCGCTCAATTCTATGCGTGGAACCCAAGTGTAGGCCCAGAGTGCGGTGGTATGTGGGCAGGTAAGAGATCCAACAAGTTTCTAAGCCCAGAAATAGTGGCATATAGAGAAGCAGAAGAGACTAACTCCCACACAGGGTACTACTACTGCATCAGAACCTCAGATTTCGTGGAACCGTCAGCGACAGCAACCATTGCGACTTCAACATCAGCAATCGCTTCGTCGACCGCAGGCCCAACGCCTCCTGCAGCAACTCACGACGGCCAACCAGCTAATTGCAACAAGTGGCATGTGGTCACTGGTAAGTCGATTTTTCTGACAATTTGAATCGATTGACTCTTACACATTCTGAACAGGCGGCGACTGCTCTACGGTCGAGGCGGAGTACGGTCTCACGCATGCCCAGTTTCTGGCTCTGAACCCTGCTGTATCAGAAGACTGCCTCACAAACTTCTGGGGTGGTTACGCATACTGCGTCGGTACGAGCGACAGCGCGACCACCACCGGCGGCTCGGGGGTAACCTCCACTTCGGCGCCGGTATCTACTCCGACCCCCACCAACGGCCCCGTTGCGGCACCGTCGCCAAATCAGGCGGGCAACGCGATCGCAACGTGTAACAAGTACGCCCAGGCTCCATCAGGCGACTGGTGTTCAGCCTTCATCGAGAGGTACGGTCTCGCGGCTGCAGACTTTTACAGTTGGAATACGGTGCTTGGAACCAATGGTGAAAACTGTGGCACCAGCTTCTGGGGGACTTATTGGTACTGTATTGGTGTTGCGGCGTAAGATCTTAGTCCCAGCCCCATAGTGTTCTAATTGCCCCTTGAAACCACATCTATCACAAAGAATCCATGTGGATGATATCCGTGCTTTCTTGCTAGGCGGGTATGCGGCAACTCCTTCGTTCCATAGTGCTGATCAGTAAAACAACCAAACTACCTTAGTTGCTTTTGCAGTTCCTTTCAACACTTGTGAGACCAACCTAGGTAGTCGCCTAGGACCTTGCCAAAAGGTTGTGAAAGGCAACGTGATAGTTGCCTTACCTGCACCATAATTGCTTTCGGGCTAGATGACTGTGATGGGTTATGATTATCAGCTAAACAGCATCGTACTGATGTGACACCGTCTGCGAGTGTTTGAACCATATATCTTGGCACGTTACGAGCTTGACGTTTATAACGCTCACGGAAACATGCCGAGCAACTTGAAACCGGCTGCTTTATGTTATAAACTCAATCTGTTGCTCTACTCTACAGATTGCAATTATTCTTAGTCTCAGACTCCTGACCGTTGTCTAAGCCGAAATCAATACTCTACAAACATTATTATCGAAATCATTTATTCTCCCGTCACAGTCCTCCACTTCCAGATGTTCCACTAAATAGGTTGCTGATTCATCAGCCTCCATTCTCCCTCTGGTTCATTCTCTTTGACTATTCTCAGATCACTTAAGAGGGCATGGCTCAAAGGTATGCATCAACTCTAGCTGGTCCTTCTACTGCGCCAGGAAATGATTCAAGGCCACTATCTCAAGTCCGTCAGTGTAGAATTGCAACACTCCCCATGACTCTGTCTTCTTTCAACATAGTGTTGTAAATGCTTGGTCTTATCTTTGCTGTGGTGCCCTAAGCTCTTCCGGGTATGGTCTGTTTTCGATGCGTATGTGCAAGGCAGCTCTTATTCAGACCTGTCCCTCAAGGTGATCACGTAATGCACTGTAAGATGTATTGACAAGACGATTCGCATGATCGACTTGACTTTGTGTTACCCATATGGCTATAAGAATAGCAAGCACATCAATGCTGCAGCACAAAAGGTCCGAAGCCGGCAGTTAGGGAGCGGGGTAAGTAAGGAAGGAAGAACTTTGTCATTCAGCCGTCAGCACTAAGCAATTTCCAGTATATTCTGGCCTTAGTCAAGCCTGAAGGCCAGGCGTTTCGTCCCTGGGATTTTAATAAGGTATCACGCCTCTCCTCTTTCCTTTGTTGAGCAAAACTTCTTCAAGTTTTTCCAGGATCCTCCAGCTGTCAACGCTTCACAATGACTACTCATATCCCCTCTATCTACAAAGCCATCTTCCTCTACTGGGACCCACCGTGCGCGCTCTGGGGCGCGTTCATGTCCTTCTTCACGCGTGACTGGATGCTTGACCAGTTCTTCCTCGAATCCCACACCGGAACGCGCGATGCAGCCCACGACATGCTCCTCTACCAGGGTGGCGGAGCTCTGGTTGGCTGTGCTATCCTCAATGGCATACTTCTACGATACACGCAAGACATTGGAGTGTGGAAGATCGCGCAAGCCGCTATTCTAGCTATTGACCTTTCCCTTCTTGCGGGCACCTACGAGGTGTTTGGGAAACAAGGCCGTCTCTCGCCAATGACGTGGCAGGTTGGGGACTGGGTTGGGATGATCATCACGATTGGAGTGACGGTGGCGAGGGTCTCGTTCCTGGCCGAGCTTGGCTTTAAGAAACAGAAGTTGAAATAAAGAATACGAGTGTCACTGTTCAAGTCGAAGAAGATCCCTCTTGGTAGCTCATTGAAATCCCGCCAATTAATTTGGCTTGAGGAATCGTGGGACAAGGCAGGTTTGCACGATGAGGAGATATTGGTGATCGAATACCAATGCCATATGACGGCTCATGCGAGTGGTTCACAGGCATCTCGGGAGGTATTAGACATCTTCATATAATGTACTCGACATTACCTACTAAGTTCGACTTTACGTACCTATATAAAATAACAATATATCCTAGGTCCTCATACACTACCTCAGGAGTGTTCCAGTTTTATCCAAACAAGAATCGTAATTTATGTATATGCAAGCCATTCTGTCACACAGCAAGACGTGGAGTGGTTGGGACATAGTGCAATATTAGACACGTTTTTTCGAGTTGTTCTTGATGTTATCAATCATTACTGCTTCCCAACGCCTTATCACTACATACAGGTTCCCTCATAATCATACCTTGGTGGATCTATAGTGGTCGTATCTGAGTATAGCATTGAGAAGAACCTGCGCTCCGTTACCGCAGTCCGTCGGCGAGCAATACTCAGTAGGGTTGTGGGTTATTCCCTCTCTGCATGGAACGAATATCATCGCCGTGGGCACCATCGTAGAGGTGTGCACACTGTCGTGTCCAGCGCCACTATACATCCTTCTCGTCAGTGACCCTGCCTGTTCTCCGAACAACGACTCGCTTCCCTTCTCGATGCATTCAATACAATCCTTGTCAAAGTTGGCAACCTTGGCATCTGAGTCGACCTTCCAAGAGACAGTGCAACCACGACCACGAGTGCATCCCGCAGTGACTGTTCCAACATGCTCGCCCCTCGCAATGCTCTCAAAATCTCTTCGAAGAATCTCTTCCATTTTGTTGATATTCTCATTCTCACTAGATCGCAGGTCCAGTGAGAAGGTAACGACCCCAGGAACGGTATTTGTGCTTCCGGGCTCCAGGGAGAGGAGGCCAGTGGACGCCAACGATTTGAACTCGGTAGCGACTTGATGTGACCGCAGAATCATTTGCGCACTGGTCAATAGAGCATCGGACCGGTTCTCAAAGTTAGTGGCTCCTGTATGGCTGTCTCGGCCCCCGACGGTGATAGTGAACCATTTGCTGGCCTGGACTCCCTGGACAACACCGATACATTGATTGGATGCCTCAAGAATGGGCCCTTGCTCTGAGTGATCATGTCAGTATGCGGTCACTTCTCGGCAAGACATCAGATGGCGTACCGATATGAAGCTCGAAATGGGCTGCCATGGGCGTTGCGGTGTAGTGCGCAGGTATGGCGCCCAAGTAACCTATCCTCTCCAGCTCGGACCTGACTGTGACGTTTGCATCTTCGATATCAGCGATTCGATGTGTGCTGTTGACATCTGTAATGCCAGCCCATACAGCAGAAGCCATCATGCACTGTGGAAATCTTGCGCCCTCCTCACTGCGTGCTGTAAGCAATTACATCAATGATACCTGACTAAAGCCAGCACTTACTTGGTCCAGTCAACAACACCAACAGGGTACTCGGTTTCGATTCCAGACTCATGCAGAGCTCTCAAGGCTGCAACTCCTCCGAGAACACCAAGAATACCGTCGTATCTGCCGCCAGCGGGTTGCGTGTCCAGGTGAGAGCCCATGAACGTAGGGTAGCCTTCTCTCCTGCCAGGCCGAATAGCGAAGATATTGCCCATAGCATCCACCTGCACCTTGCAACCGTACTTCTTGACCTCTTTGATAAACCAATCTCGTACCATTTTATCTGCATCACTCAACGCTAGCCGGGCCATGCCGATCTCGGTCGGGGCGCTATTCCATTGTCAGCTTTTGTGATCTACCTGAAAGCGAGAGGACATGGCGCAGGCATACTCTCCCCATCTCTGTCCCCCTCCCCACTGAGCTGTGAGATGTATGTCATCCATCAGCCGTTGCCTATCTATAATCACCGTGGCCATAGGGCTGGCCCGCGACAGAATCTGGGCAGATGTAGTCATGGTTGCCGTCGTAGACATGTTTGCGGAGCGAAATGCGATGTCCCCTTTTCTTAGGTTCCGCTTATACAACTTGAAGGAAAGATGCAGTCGAATGGCTGTGTGAAGAGGAACAAAATCATGCTAATTTGTGCCTCGATATTTATCTTCTCGAATACATACACGGCTCGATGATCTACCGAGTATGAGCACTAGTAGTTGACTCCTAAACGTATTCTATCGTGGTACCATACCCACAAATTATTCGGCGAATTTGTCTCCACTACGATTCATTAACAGATTCGGCGGATTCTAGTTCCATAGTTTCGGCGAACACGGAACCTGACTGGTCAATTGCTTCTACGCCGGTTCCAAACGACCGCTTATCAACGGCTAATATAGCAGCCTAGATTTGTTATCGAGGCTTATTGTTGAACTGACCCGGCGAAACTTATCAACAGATACGGGTAATGCCGATAAGCTCGTTCAACATCATCGTTGGAGTTATCAACTATGCTGTCTTCAAAAAGGACAGCGGGGTCTCAACTCGAATCTCATCGTCAAGTCCAATCACTTTCACCTCCCAGATACAATGATCATGGAGTACACCAAAGAAGCCAATATCAACTCTGACTTCGTTCCGAGCAACATTACCGATTCACCACCTCCAACCATGGGTGAAAGCTCGATCTTGATCGATCCGGTCCTAGAGAAACGCGCCATCTCAAAATTCGACAAGTACATGATGCCGCAAATGGCGTTGCTCATGCTCATTGCATATCTTGACCGAACTAATATTGGTTTGTGGAAATTGCATCGCGTCCAGTCTTGTGGCCGTTGGTATTAACACGAGCTCTTGGCAGGAAACGCTCGAGTTTTTGGTTTCGAACAAGACTTGGGGCTCGTTGGAACACAGTTCAATGACCTGTCAACCTTGTTCTATCCGACCTACGTCCTCTTCGAGATCCCCTGGGTCATGGCGGTTAAGAAATGGGGAGCTAACGCAGTCCTTGCTGTCGCCATGATCGGATGGAGTGTTGTTACTATCGCAACAGGGTTCATCCACAACTATTACCATGGAATTGCTGTCCGCCTCCTCCTGGGAATTTTCGAGTCCGGCCTCTTCCCTTGTCTTGCTTTCCTGATTTCGACCGTCTACTCCCGGGCTCAGCAAGCCAAGCGCATTGCCGTGCTTTACGGTGCGATTGCCCTTTCAGGTGCTTTTGGTGGCCTCATTGCCTACGGCATCCAGACAATGGGTTCTAAGGCCGGACTCGAGGCCTGGCGCTGGCTGTTCATCATCGAGGGGTGCATCTCCATCGTGATTGGCCTGGCTCTCTGGGTCACGCTACCGTTCGACTCTGAGAAGGCATGGTTCCTCAACGAAGAGGAGCGCTACGTCATGAGCATGCGTGTCAAGAGAGATGTGGCCTATAAGGGGGAGAGAAAATTCGAGTGGAAGTATGCCAAAATGGCTTTTACGGAGCCCATTATCTACATTGCTGCCATCGGCATGTTCTGTTCGTCCGTTCCGCTATTCGGCTTCACCACCTTTTTGCCTACTCTCATCGTTGGTTTTGGGTAAGTCTCTTTTCTAACTTTTCTCCCAGTGCCAGTGAAAGTATGCATCTCACACATAGTAGATATACTTCCCTCCAGGCGAACTATCTCTCCATCCCGGTGTACGTCTTCGCCTGCCTGTTTCTGTGCCTCGTCGCTTGGCTCTCAGACAAACTCAACAAGCGCGGCATTCTCGCCATGATCGTTCCGATTCCTGTCCTTGTTGGCTATGCGATCACCGTCGGCACTAGCAACCACGGCGCAGACCTCTTCGCCATGTTCCTCGTTGCTGCTGGTGAGTCCGGTTCGCACCCTACTGAAGCTATCCAGCTCCTAATATGTCACAGGTGTCTATCCTTATAACACCCTTGTCGTCACTTGGGTGACAAATAATCTTCCCACCGACCACGTGCGCTCAATCGGTATCCCTTTGCTCATCTCCATCGCCAACGCCTCGGGAATTCCCTCATCCCAGATTTATCCGAAGAAGGACTCGCCGCGCTACATTATGGGCAACGCAGTCTCGCTCGCTATGGAGGCTATTGCTCTGGTTGCGGTCGGACTCATCCACATCCTCGTCCGTAGGAGAAACGCAAAGCAGGTTGGAAATGTATCTGGAGGTCTCCGGCTCGCGGTGTGAATGTGATCAGTGCTCATTCACTAGTACTGCGGTGCCCCAGGAGAACATGTGGAGGTGCCCGACACAATCTGATACATAGACATATCAAAAGTATCTTGCCATGAGCGCCGGGACTCGCTTGTGCACGTGTTGACCCACAGTTGCCGCTGAGATTTGCAGTGTCGGTTGTCCTAGAAGCCGTTTTGTAGAAACGCTTCAGCAATCATGCTTAGGATAGCGATGTGCAGCAGCTTCTGTAAGGTGGGTCCCAGTTTTGATGTGCGCGGATTATGAATGCTGATGAGATCTCGGTAGTTTGCTTCCATCCGTGGGCACGATGCCCAAACGTTTGGGAAACCAGTGTATAGCGAGCATATAACAGTGCAATGTCGACTTCATGTCGAGTCTTTGATTACTTGTGCTACATGTCTGTTAATCCTAAAGATCTTATTCATGTTTGACCAGTACATCGCATCCAACCGGAGAATCCCAAGGCTCATGTCCTCGAAGCTTTGAGACTGGTGTCGCAATATTTGCCGCCACTTGTCGATCAGAGTCTTGCACGTTTTTGCGTGCTGCACGCTTGGTGATTGGACAAAGAGTAAGGCAAGAAAGCTTGAGGTTATCGCCCAACCAATGCGAGACCCTAGATTAGCCCACTAATTAGACATGTGCTTGTAACTGCGTACTTCCTTGCACAAACATGAGGCGTTACTTACAAGCATACCAGAAACCGGCAAAATCCCAAGACATCAGCTCGACGGTGAAGGTGCTGATAATCCTCGCACAGTTTTCGGCAGCACATATAATCAGCTCTATCTCGTTTCGCAGGCTCTCGCCCAGTTCCGGTCCAGTCATGTTGGCATCCGAGCTACTACGAAGATTATCTGTCTGTGAAACTGCATTCGAGACAACTTCCAGGTCGATTTTGCCCAGTGGCCGAAGCAAAGCTCGGTAAAGTAGAATTTCGAGAGTCAGATACGCGAATTTGAGGCAGGCTGCCGAGCTTGGTGCGGCGGGAGCGACCCTCTCGTGATCTATCTTTGGTGTCTTTAAATAGATAGGAAGACTGGCATACCACACCTTGAGCTCTTCACGAAGAGGTTTGATAGCCCTGATGGAGCCAGCAAGGTCATCGGCGAGCTTCTCAGTAGCCCGTATCGTGCTGTGCGATTTCTCTCAGCGCATGTAAGCAACAAACAACGGGCATCAGAGGACTTACTAGAGACAACGGTATATATTGTCGGCAATAATGGTCAAAGTTGCGAGTCGCTGTGATATCATACCCTCATCGGACTCATGTGTTGCAAGTCGCAGCTTTTCCGCGAAATCGTTTGCTTTCGTATCATCGCCAAGCCCAAGAAGCATTTCCTCAACCTCAAAATCCAGTGAAGTGAGCTCCGACACATTCCACTGATCTGGTGCGATTATAGCAGGCCTTCCCAACAAGAGACTTCTCCACGTCGCCTCGGAGAATGTCATCCACCACAAGCGGCGTCGAAGCCGCTTTTCCCACGGCGGTATTGACCATGAACTGCAGTCCAGGTGCAGCGCTAGGCTCGTGGCTAAGCCAACGACAGAGGCGATCATAGACCAGGCGAAAGACGTGTCCGCGGATACATGCTGCACTCCTACTCGGGGTTTATGAAGATACAGTAATGCGCTTGAGATGGTAGATAGTTTCGGGGTATGTAGCGTAGTCTGAATCCCGTCATAGACAATTTGCCATATTCTTTGGGCGGGAGGTTTCTTGTAGACACTGGAGACGCATAGTATATCATCGTATGCAGTGAAAGGGAGCGCAGAAGCGTATATAGCGGCCAGCAGATAAGTTGGCAGTGGAGCATGTCCCGGGGACGCAGACTTGAAATGTCCATCAAAGGCAGTCACTATTTGTGACCGAGAAATAACTGGAAATGCTGGGTAAACATATTGTACGAACCTGGACAGTTAGGGTCATGATGCTTGGTGGAAGCGGGGCAGGCTTACAATAGAACAAGTCTCCGTCCGACATCTTCACTCACCAAGTCGTTCAGTTCCTTTCTCACTGACTCATAATTATATAAATGATTGGTAGGACCGAGGCGTCTAAGCTCATCACTCAACTCATTTGAAGTTAGAAGGAATTGGACCGGAACATTGTTTTCATCTGATCTGGGATGTCCTGTGACCGAAGAATGGTCGCGATGGAAGGGGGTCCCGCTCTGCGTCCTTCGATATATCACTCGAAGAAACGGAAATTCGTCTGCGTCGTTATACAAGTAATGCCGGAGAAGATAAGGGTCCGACTCTCCCGAGAGACCAAAGTACGCGCTCTGGAACTCAGGTCTCTGGTCGATGGTAAAAGCAGCATCGTTCAGATTAGACGACTGTGCACAGCCATCGTGTGGTTCTGTCGAGAATCTAATCCCGATCTCGTGCGCGGAATTCGCGCCATTTGACGAGGCTTCTAATGTTGGCAGTGGAGCTGCTCGCTCGGGTGTCTCAAAATCATGCTGATGAAGGACTTGAGAATTCGCAAGCGGGATTCCATCAAACTGCATCAGACCAGCGCCAATAGCAGTGCTCGCGAATTGTGTTTCATCTGGCGGAGGGCTGCCCCAGGTCCTTTCATCGGTGAAGCCCCCATACATCGCGTCCTCGTCCGCGGGGTGCTGGCTGTAATGGTCATTCGTATGGTCACCAAGGGAGCCCTGAACAATGTCGCTGGCTAAATCTCCTGGCAGGATTGTTGAAGTGTCGAAGCCGACTCCAGCTTGTCCGAGGTCATCCAACCCGTCGCAATCATTGGGACTACCCCCGGACAGAGAGGCGGTTGCCGACTCATGAGTGAGAGCCGACTCGTGAGTGGGATCATCGAGAAAGCTGCAGCGTTCGCCTCGTTTGCGGCACGTTATGCAAGAAGTATCTTTTCCCGCGCGGCGGCATGAAGTCTTACGCGCACGGCAAAGCATGCACGGCCGATTCCTCTTTGAACGATATGGCCGGCGTTGCAGGGCGTTGGGTGTAGTCCGCATGAGTGCGAAAGTTGGGTCCATGATGCATGCTTGAACGGGAGACGGTACATACGTCTTTATGCATTCAAGGAGCCACCTCGGTCATTGCCACATTGAATGCTTTGGGCTACTTCAACTGCCGCTTTCTCAATGCATCAGATCGAAGGTTGTAATTTGTCAGTTGTCGGACCAAGGTGGGAAGCAAGACATGGAACGATCACCCTCCCCACGGGGCACTCTTGAGACTCCACAGATAGGCGAATTCTTTTTCCGTAGCAGGCGTCTATCGGCCAATCCGTCATTCCAGTATGTAACTATGCCTTCTCAAGTAGGCCAGTAGAGGCGCGCCCTTACCACTTGTGGATAAAGTCATCCCGCCCAAAATATTTTGTAAACCCTTTGTTTTACCACAATAAACTCGGATCCTAGAAATATAGATCACATACATATACTCAAGGCTGACATTGGTCGTATTCCGCCTATGAAGCGTCCTATGAGGGAAGAAAAACTCGAGCTGCCAATTCTAGACGCGGAAGTCGTGTAGTAATCAGTCGATTTGATGGAGCTGTTCGTGCAGCTCTTTGTCTCTAATAGCCTTGAGTGACTAGGTGTCTCGGTAGGTACTTTGGGGGATGCCCCGCGAGGTGCACTTCTGGCTTGTTGAGCCTGTAGGGCAGCATACCAGGACACCCTTGGTGTCATCCCCGCTTCCCCTAAAGAGTCGGTAAGAAATATGGTCAGCCAATTTTCAACTTTTTTCAGCGACCAATATGCTGAAAGGGGTTAGATGCGAGCGACTTACGCATCCGCTCCTGTCATAGGCCACTATCTCCTCCCCATCAGGGCACCTCATGTCAACCAGCTCGGCACAGCCGTCCTCCTTGCGAACCTTACAGTCCTGACCGTTTTCGAGTTTGGTTGTCTCGGCCACATTGCTACTGGTCATCTGGAGCGCTTTAATTTTTGGAAGTGTCGGGGTGGGCAACCTGGTTGAAAGTGGCCAAGGGTACTGGGATATCCAGCAGTTGTATAGCGTGCCCGATTTCGCCACTTTGCTATCATGGAAACCAGCCTTAGGTTCAAGCTGCGAGAGCTTGTGGCCAGACTATGCTGTGGGCGTCGGTGTCTAGAAGAGTCCTGAATCTATATCCACTGTCTTGGGAGCTTAGTTAGTGGTACCATTAGTTCTGCAGGGAGATATTTCTCGACTCTCCTTGGCTCAATACGTGCGAGACCAACTTTTCAATGACTCTTTTCCAGTTCATTGCAAAAGAGACTGATCTTGCCTTACTAACACCGGTACCTTTACTGATGAGACGACATTCAAGTGAAGCTTTTGCTATTTGTTCCGTGGAAGTTTGGCATCTCAACAATCCATGACGCTGGCAGGCTAACTTGGGAGCAAGTGCATTTGAAACGGCCGACAGGTAAATGAGCGTACTGCAGCTTGATTCTAACCTCCAAGTCTTTTGCTTAGCGCTGGTGGCTTGTCTTTGATGTTGCGATCAAACCAATTAACCAGCTCGGCGCAGACGAGAATCTGTGCTCGATTTGAGGGGGCATTTCCCCACGTTTTCTCAACTCCGACACATGTGGGTATTGCAATTTCAACACTTGGCTGATTGGCTAAGATTACTACCATGTCCATGTGGAGACGAGCTGTCTTTAGGGCTGATTCCAGCTGGGGACGTCGACCAGACTCTGCCGGGCTTTAACTCTTCTCCGCAACATCACCCGACCTTTCGGAATAGAGGTATCCCATCACTTGTGCAACTGGACTTGTGCAACTCTTCTGTCAGCAGCCGACTGCGGATCGGTGACAAGTACCGACATGGAAATTGTTTGGCAGGCCTCTGCGAGCCAGAACGCTAAACGCTCTTCCCAAGATAAGTCTATATAATTCCTCCTGTGTCCATGTCCTCTCGGCAAAATCACTCCCAACTAACCCAAGCCATTCACCCTGTCAAGGCTGCCGTGCACGAAAGAAACGGTGCTATCATGTCGGTGTCACCGAAAGACCATACGCCGCCAGACGCGGCGACAGGTCAATCACAGACCCGGTTGACCAGGCATCGAATACTCGAGACTCGAGTCCTAGTCCGAGCCGTGTCAGTCTGTACAACCCAGAATCCGTCTTGACAGATCTTTCTATGGATTCTACAGGGGCAAGACTTGCGGACAAGGCTGGCACTTGCCAAGTGCATTCACGTCGCAAAGAGAAAGACTTGAATACATCTGAAGAAGGTATTTCTCTAGAGGAAAGATCTCTCCGCCAGCGCAATTGGTACGATCGTCACCGTCTCAATTCCAGGCGGCCTGAAATTTCAGACAATCAACGAAGATATCTTGAGGAAGAGGGTGCTTACCTCGAATTGCCAAAGTCGACGACTGACATCCTTCTGCCAATTTACAACATGCTCTTAGATGACCTCATTCCAGTACTAGATGGGGCTGCAATGTTTCGGGACTACAGTAACGGGCAAGCATCCATATTTCTCCTCAGAGCAGTCTCCCTCATTGCCTGTAAATTCAGACAGGCAGCCCCATTTCTGAGAATCTGTGAGGATGGCGCTATCCTGGATCAGAGACATTTTGCTTCTATATTACTCAAAGGTCTTGATGTCTCTATCAAGGCAGATCTCGAGCCCGACCGGATCACCAAAGTTCAAATTTTAGCCTTGATGCATCTACACAACGACGGCCTGAGTGGGCTAGATCGCTCCTCAGGGTATCTTTCTCAGGCTATATCCGAAGCGTGGGCAATCTCACTGCACGTAAAGGTTCCCGTTAATTCCGACCAGGAGCGTTGCGACTTTTTGTGGTGGACACTACGAAATTTTGATCGGCTGAACAAGCCCGTCATGGGCGCTGCTCCGTTCATGATTGATGATACAGACATTGGGGTTGAACGCATTGCTCCCCGAAAGGATCACTACCGGTCCCAGCTAATGGCCATATCTCTCTCTCTCGGAGATTTGATGAAAACGGCAACTAGGATTTACAAAGCTAGCTCAACAGCAACGGACGATGACTTTGATGCGTTTCCGACATTCTCTGAGCTGACCACTAATGTTTGCATGGATGAGTTCCAGAGATCCCACAGATGTAAGTAAACTTGGAGCTTGAAGTAAAGCGTTGTGACTTTCTCTGATTCTAGTCTCTTAGTGTACTTGCAAATTTGGTACCACGTCGCCGCGATGCTCTCCTGTCGCTATAGCGGGCCGAAGAGCGTCCAGTATCAGCGACGACTATCTTCTGCTGATAGTGTACTACGCATCGTCTGTCTTGCAGAGCCTGCCAATCTCCCGCCTCTTCCTCTTGTACCTTATGCTATGTCAATGTCTACCACGGTGGTCTATCGCGCTCTTAGGGATGGCGAGCGAGCACCAGAAGAAGCGTACAAAGATCTTGGAGCATGTTACGACAACCTCGTCATCCTCAGTCGACTTTGGACCAGTGCAAAGGGAGTTGCTAGGTTAGTGAGGCGTCTGCAACAATTTACCAGGCCCAGTGCACCTCCCATTCGAACCACAGAGGGCGCCCTGTGCACTTGCGACGACACACATCAACACGCAAACGTCACTAGGAACCCAATCAGCAACTTGAATAACCTTCAACGACATGGACCAACCCAAGATGTGACTGAAAGCTCAGTGTCACCTGTTTCGAGCTTGGTGCAGCCTAGTGAGGCCTTTCTGCCACCAGATGAATCCACAGATGATGATGGTCAATCGGGTCACCGGGCTGCCACTTGGTTCGCTGATGGGCTATCTTACTCTCATTTTGACAGGGCCTTTTATGATTTCTTCGATTACGGCATGCCCAGTCTTTTTCGCGATTTGGCAACCTGGGATTTTCTCCAATCAGACGCGAATGATGATCTAGAAGTTTCATCATTAAACCATTAGATACTCACGAACCTAACCACTTCTTACGAAGAAACCCCTTCTTATCTTGATGTTTTCGTAGCCTGATGCCTTTCAAAACAATCCTTGAATCTCCGGCTACCATGTTGTCAGATTCTAAAGCTGGCTATTGGTTGTTGGACTAAGGACAACTCCTATAAGAACTGCGTCCCGAGCAGCAGAGCATCGTATACTAATGCCTGAAAACCCTGAGTCTCAATCACAGCACCAAAACTGATTTGATTGTCAGCCAGAACATCGCCCGTTCGTCCATAGCTTGGCTTACCCATGACATTTAATGCCCTCCATCAATCTGTCAGCAAGCGCCCATAATCTTCGCAGCTCGATGCCGCCAAAGTGAGGTTGGCTCCGTATGTACTCCCACGCTTGGGCTGGCGTCATCTCCCCGTCGAAGCAAACGTGCGGAGAGAGAGCTAGGATCCGTTCCAAGATATCTCGGGGTGCGTCTTGGTACGACGGAATACCAACATGACCTTTCTCGTTCGATCGGGATTGGTCTGCATATAAAGAGATAGTTCTCGCCGACACTGTCAAAACGTGACCCGTTGAGTCATCAGGCTTCTTGAGGTCACCATGAATATGTTCAAGGCAAGGACTTTCAAGCCTTAAATGGAGTCAGCGAATATGCAACTTACTAAGACGAGATTGTCGACTTAAGACCGACGCATTGTGGCATGGCTGTGCTCTCACCTTAGAACAAACTCCATACCTGCTGCGATCAAGTCAACCTCGCACATTCGGTTGTCGTCAAAATCATACATAGTAACCGCTCTGTTAGTCTTCAACCACGGAAGCTCTATTCCTTGCTTTTCGGTGTATTGGTGACTCGACAGAGCGTCTGTTGCCGTTTGGAGGTCGTTGGCAACAATATCAGCCGTCGTGTTGAGTTCCGCCTGGAGTGGGGTTTTGTCAACCGTTCGACTGTCTTCTGATTCTTTTTCCGAAGTTTTCAAAAGTTCGGTGGCTCTCAATCCGGCCAAGAATTCGCCCGTTCTAGAATGAGATAAGTTGTGAATTCCACCGTCATATTTGCTGGTTAAGTTGTCCTCGAAAGCGGCAGGAATACCGATTCCATGGCGAGAAAGCATCTCTGTTAACGACTCGAGAGCAGCATACATCTGCTCGCATCGGATCATAAGTTCAGCTTCTCTGTTTCGGGCTCTTTCGACCTCTTGTTCGAGCGACTTGGTGTACTTGTCCTTGCGGTCACGGTACGACCTAAATACAGAATTACAAAATCGCCTCAGCGCTGATACAGATGCATTCTCATACCGTTGTGCACTTCGAAGTTGTGCTCGCCGCTTCTCCACGGGGTCTTTCTTGGCCTCTGCGACGCACTTAGCTTTCCGACAACGATGTAGTCACACACAGAAAGCTGCACGACACGCATGCGCATTCTTGTGCTGGCTCAATTCCATGGACGAACCTCCAGGATTCAAGATACGGAATATCTTGCTGCTCATACTGATGCAAATGGACGACACGGAGCCTGGGATTGTTTCAAAAGATCGACGGACAGATAAAGCTGTGTCGTACAATCCAGATTGGAGTTCTTGTTCTTCGTGGTTGAGATTGTTGTTGTGCAGCAATGATTGCAATTTCCCGACACTCTTAAAGTGCATTGTTATTGACTGACTGTCAGCTGCGACTGCTCACCATAATTCCTCACTTCAGATGGCAGTTTCAGATTCTGGGGTGGTCTCGGATGTTCGGCTGACGATCAAATGGCCCACTTGTTTCATTTGGCGCGATGAGAATATCAAAATTGCCTCTTGTGGTTAGATCTCACCGCATGTCAGACGAAAAGGAGCGCTTCATGGAGGCTGTAGCGTCTTGATAACCTTGTTTAGTGGACGCAGGCGATGTGGAATCAACCGTTTGATCTTGTGGCTCCCTTTCAGTGGTGTGGAATCTACTGACAATGACTGAAGAAAGTACACTGGGAGAGCGACGTAAAGCTGAAGGGACCATGGTGAAAGGCATGGCTGTCAGGCCTTCCCCCGGGTATCTGTTCCTTGAAGCGCTTTCGTGATGCGGGTTTCGAGATGTCAATCGATGTTTGGATGCACACAACAAAAGATACTGTCATCGAATCTTCCCAAATAGGAAATGGGGATTACCGCATCATTTTGCCCTCGCGAAATGCGCGAACATTGGAAGCGGCAGCGACTCAATAGGATACCCAAGTACTTGTTCGCCCTTGGAAACCTCGCATTATATATTTCTTATATTTCCTTACTCTTTTGTCGAAACAATCAAGACTCTACTCAGCTCGTACATTTCTACAGATAAACTACTCTTTGCTCATGTTTTGGTGATTATCAACACCCACAACCTACCATTCCTCACCTCAACCATCCATCACAACTATTTACCCCATCCCCAACATGCGTCAGCACATGATTCTCTTCTTTTGCTTTGCTTCATCTATATCGACTGTTTCGGGAAGAACAATGGCCTGTAAGGCTGAATCTCGGCCCGGAAAAGCTATCTACACTATCACCAACGATCAGACCAATTCTGTGATTGCCATTCCAATATCCAGCAATGGCATGCTTTCAAAGGGAGCAACATTCTCAACTGGTGGATCCGGTTCGAATTTTCTTGATGGCACAGCAAACGAGCCAGCTGCTCCTGATGCTTTAGCATCTCAGTCGGCACTTACTATTGCAGGCAATGTAATAACGCCGATTCACATTCTTGATTGTTAGCTTTTGCTAATGTCAGTCTTGCAGAGCTTGTTCGCCGTCAATGCTGGCTCGAACACGGTCACAATGTTCGCAATCGACCCGTCGAACCCCACCAAGCTCACCATGATGGGCCGCCCAGTTGCGGTTCCTTGCCAATTCCCCAACACGATAGCAGCGTCAATGAAACACAATGTTGTCTGCGTCGGCTGTTCCGGGAACCAGTCTGGAGTCTCTTGCGCTAGATTTTCCACAGATGGACTGAGATCCATGGATACTCTTCGGCCCGTTGAACTGAGCCAGACTACCCCTCCCGTCGGACCAACCAACACCATATCTCAAGTTCTCTTTTCCAACAACCAGGGCATCCTATTCACTACAGTCAAGGGTGATCCGTCTCAAAATAAGACAGGGTTTCTTGGTGCGTACAAGGTTAACAGCCAGGGCTCTGTTGAACATGATGGAGTGCAATCGTCGCCGAACGGTACTGCAGTTTTGTTTGGTTCGTCGACGATCCCCAGGAGCAACAATCTCTTTGTCACTGATGCTTCTTTTGGTGGGGCGATTTTGTCCATTGACTCGAAGACGAACGTTGCTTCTGTAAAGGGGATGAGCGTTGTCGACGGACAGAAAGCAACATGTTGGGTCGCAGTTTCTTTGGCAACTGGCAGCGCATTCGTCACTGATGTTGGGACTAACAGGTTGATCGAAATGTCGCTGAGCGATGCAAGCATCCAAAGTATCATCGATCTCAGCGCCAATGGTGATCCAGGTTTGACTGACCTGAGGGCGGCTGGCCACTTTGTGTATGCTCTGAGTCCAGGCAACGGAACAACACAGTCTGCAATCACTGTGGTTGACACCGCCGCGAAGAAACAAGTCCAGCATTTTGCGCTTGGACAACTCGGCGTTGGTAAAAGTGCCCAAGGAATGGCGGTCATGCTGTAAATATTATATCATTTTGTATTCAGTAATTATCCTATGACGTTTGCGTTGCATTTTGAGTCATACTGTCGTCCAGAATGGTTTTCTGTACCATTCACTTGACTGAAACCTGTTGCGCTATTCCCGTTACGATGTCTGCCTAGGCTGGTAGGTCGATGCTAGCCTCGTTGAAGTGAATCAAAATGGACCATCACTTTAACGCCAGATTACAACGAACAGTATTACGATTCTCTTGGGGCTAACAAACATCCTTAAGAACAAGAACAATCCCTCCCATCTCTATCAAATACTTATGGCCTTTCCCAGTTCCACCGGCCGTTCATGATGAGCCACTGTTGTCCACACACGAGAAGGCACCCCCAATCAGGCCGTCGGCATAGGCATCAATGATGTTTTGAACGACACCATAAGTGCCGCCGATAGTCAGGAAAACGGCCAGTAGAATCATAAGCCAGTTCAGCCAGTATACCATGGCTTGCCACAAGTTGCCCTGTCTGTAATGCGGGTGGTCGAAGATCCATAAGTAACCAGGAAGACCGAGTGCTAGAGGTGCGAAAGTTAAACTTCCTGCTAGCGCCAGCAGATAGTTGAAGATGGGAATTCCAGACGCCAAGAGGAATGAGACCACGGACATTCCGAGGGTGCACGCAAGCCAAACAGACCAGTGAATGACCGAGTTCTTCTGTAAATGAACAGAATCTCGCAGGATTCTGACAAACAAGTACTTGGCTGCGACATGGATGTACAGACACGCGCTGACCATCAGGCCGATCAAGCCAATGCCGTACGAGACTTTCTTGACGGTCTCTCCAGCACTACCTAGTGAAGGAGAGGCAACCCACTGGCCGCACCAACGATAGACAACAAGTGAGAAGGTCAAGTAGGACGCTGTGACAATACCCATGCAAAGGTACACAGCTTTATTGTAATCCTTGGGTTTCTTCATTTCCGAGATGACGGGAAGGAACGCCGATGTTCCTGCACCAGAGCAGAAGATAGTTGCAACACTCGTGATTGCGGTCACGAAATTGGGGTTTCCGATGACATGGTAACCTAGGTCGAAATCACCGGTCTTTGGGGCAGCGGCAGGCCTGTCGACTTGCGTGACCGCAACGCTGTAACAAATGTTAGTGGAATTTTCGAAGGCTTTGGAGCGCAGACAGCAGGATCGATACACTTATAGAGAGATATGATCTGGGTTGGGAGGAAGTGAACTTACACCACGATGAAAACGGCGATATACACTGACAAGAAGCCAGCCCATGTCAACCATGCAATCTTTTCGAATTTTCGAGCACTTGCTAGGATAAAGACACAGGCAGTGGCCACCAACATGAAATAGTTGGTACAGATGGCGTGGTTCGAGAGTGCATTGAAGGCAACTGATGTGCCAAAAATGCCCGATGCGCCGACGATTGCATATGTGACGAGGAAGAGGACTCCGACAACTTCCTTCAGCCAAACACCACCAACGACGTTGGCCATATCCGCGATAGAATGACACCCAGCATGGGCGTTGCGGAAATTACCCTGGATAATGGCACAGTACGTGTTGAGAAACTGCCAACCGAGAACATTGATGGCACCGGGCAGCGCACCCAACACGAACATGGCTGAAGGGATTGTGAGAACACCAGTTGCGAAAATAACTTGGATTTGTTAGCTACGCCTCTGCTTGCCAGGCGGATAAGTGGATAAGGCTTTCTTACCCTTCAAGAAGATTACTGAGGCATGTATCCATCCCACAGTACGGAAGTCGACCGTCCCTTCGCCGCGCTTGAAGACTTCAAAAGCATCTTCAGCATTCTCGAGCTTTCCCGCGTCGATGCTACCGCTGCTCCGGGCCGGCGCCGGTGTTATGGCATCGCTCTTTTCAGAATTGGTCTGAGACATTTTGACGGCGGTTTCGATTATTGATGCGGATTCCGATTCCAGCCGAGTGGTCGCTTCTACAGAGTCCGTGGCGTATCGTATGACGGATGAGCCGCGGACATTACCTCAATATAAGATCGTCCCTGTTAGTTGAAGTTGGAGCATCTGGTAATATCGACTGTGACGAGTGAGATGAACACGAGAGCCTGGCGTGGCTTATCTCCTAGCGGCACAGATGTTCCGACGCAAGATAGCTGTCGAAAGGAAAGACTGTCCAACCCCGCGACGAGCTCCAGATGCCGCTCCAAGATCGTGGGTCGCCGACCCATGGCGACACCCAAAGTCAAAAGCGCGTTCAGGGGTTGGATGTGCGTTTGTGGAGTGCCAGTGGGTCAAAACAAGGTTCCTGCGATAAGGTTGGGGTATTAGTGACAACTTGGGGCAGTTGTCGAGCCCATGTGCCGAAGTTGGAGTCTAGAAAGCTCCGGGCTTGGAAACAGGTATACCCCAAAGCCACAGGTCCACATTGACTGATTTGACTAGAGCATCATAAGTGATAAGCGCGGGGTAAGTTGACGAGCCTTGGAGGCATGTATGTCAATGGACTTCATCGACGAGGACTTACTCCAAGCGTCTTGCAGTAGGATACAGAGCCAAGTCTGTAGAGATGTCCGCCTGAACCTCCTGGCTAAGTATGTTTGAACGTTTATGGCTAGCGCCGCCGGAAAGATGAATCGTGGAGTCATAAGAGCAGTTTACCTCATAAGTTTCTCATTCCCTTACGCAAGCTCTTTGAAGTGGAGGTGATGTGCTAAACAAATATGGCAATATGGAGGGAAGCAAGGTGGAATAGATATGCATGAACGTTTTGTGGAGTTGAGAATTCGGATATCGATTTTATTACAAGAGTAAACTCAGTATCTATGCTCCTACGGCTTCTTTCTTGAGCATGGCGCCAGGCTCTGCAGGCATCACAGCTCCCTGTGCCGGTGCCGTCTTCGCCTTGAATTCGTCGCAAATCTGCTCCATGGTGACGAATTCCACCCCTTCGTGCTTCTTCATATGTTCAATGAGCCTCTCGTGCATGAGCAATGCGTGAGGACGACCAGATACGTCCGGGTGGACTGTCAGCGGAAAGATGAACTCGTCGTACTCGCGGTAGAAATAGTCAAAATGATCTCGCCAGATATCCTCCACATCTCTGGCGTTGACGAATCCGTGGCTGTTTGGCGCATCTTTGATGAACATCATTGGCGGCAAATCGTCAAGGTACCAATTGGCCGGGATCTCCACGAGCCCTGTTTCTTGTCCCCTTACAAGAGGCTTCATCCACTCGCTAGGTTTCTTTTTGTAGTCAATCTTGGTCCATTCATCGCCAGTTCGTAGATAATACGGTTGACAATCGTGGTGGCTCATACTATGGTCGTATTCGATACCATAGTCGAGCAAAAGCTGAGCCCCCTCCTTGCTTGTTTCCCACCATGGAGCGACGCTACCCCTTGGAGGCTTGCCCGCGAAGTCTGTGAGCATGCGATATGTCTTATCAAGGATTTCTCTTTGTTGATCGATGGTCATATCTGTCGGATTCTCGTGCGAATAGCCATGTAGCCCGATTTCGTGGCCGGCGTCTCGCACAGCGGCCATGTCCTCGGGAAAGGTCTCGAGGCTGTGTCCTGGGATGAACCATGTAGCCTTGATGTCGTACTTGGCGAGGAATTTGAGCACCCGTTGGACACCTATCGTTCCAGCAAAATAACCTGGAAAGTTCAATCGTAAGCTCAAGTAGGCCACGCATACCCAACTACCTTAGCTCCCAATACTTACCTCTGCTGATATCGTTGGACGAATCTTCTCCTCCATAGGATCCTAGCCATCCGGCGACCGCGTCGACGTCGACGCCATAGCTAACGAGAACACGCTTCTTGCCCATTGTGAGTTGAGATTGGATTTCTGTGCAAATCTTCACCAGGGAGGGGTGATACTCTCAAAGGTGGAATGATCTCGAATCGGTTGATAAAGACTCGTGCGGGGTTCGGGGAAAGGCAGAATAAAGGAAAAGGGTTGCTGCCACGCTGCGAGCGGATTCCTCTTAAACAGTCAAACCTAGTAGCGGCTCAGTCGGTCATGTCACTGAGGGGTATTCATCATCTTATCGGGATTCATTATGCTATCAATTCTGCAATGCCTTCCCATGCCTTGGCTCGCTTATCGCGGGGTAGCTTGTGTGGATTCACCTCCTATGAAGGTAAGGTTCAGAAGCAGGGATATCGGACTGGGTAGATGTCTATTGTGATACCTTTGATTGGACGGCAACCATTGGGCATTTGACCACTCCATCCACATTATTTCACCGATCACTTGTATCCAGTCCTTTTACATAGCTGTGGTATTGAAAAAGGAGGGGTATTGTCTAAGAGGGGCGAAGGACTCCATCCGGTCGCGGATCTGCCGCAGTATGGTCCTGTTGGAGACCCAAAGTTTTTGTGTAATAGAGGGTGGATTCGTGGCGTGGTCGACAGATTTGGAGGCGAACTGGGAGGTGCTCGAGTTGCTCCAACGACTCGACTTGACCCCTCTTTAAGTCGGATGATAACGGCCAACAACCATCGACAACTCTTCAACTTGAAACCTTCAGGAGCTTGGCCACCCGTGGAATAAGCCCATCTAGAATAGAATTTGATCGAGCCCTCCATTGTCTGAAGTTCTAATTCAACTCCATATTCCAACCTCAACGGCCTCGTTTTTTGCACCAAGTAAACATCAAGAACAGCAAATTTGATCTGCACCGCAGTCCGTGTTCTAAGCCCTTGGCAAACCTCAACTGCTCTCTTTTGGAAATCATGGCAAACCCCATCATTCCTCCGGTGATGCGAGCAGCTCAGATAAAGGAAGTCGGTTCTCATGATGCATTATGCTCCAGGAGATAGTTCAGGAAAAGCTAATCAAACCATTAGTATAACAAACCATATGAGCTAGTGGAGAGAGAAACTCCGGCCATTCGCAGTAATGAGCTACTTATCAGAGTTCATGCGGCCGGATTCTGCCACTCGGATCTACAAGTTTTACAGGGACAATTTGAGTCACCGTTGGGCATGATCGCATCTCATGAACCTGCCGGTATCGTGGTTCAG